ACTGTAACAATATGTTTGAATAAACAGACCTGAGGCATGACCTCACCTTAACTCCAAAAAAAAAAAAAAAAAAAAAAGAACTGTTTAGATTTTTTAAGTCTAATTTTAATTTAATTTTAAATTTATTTTATTTATTTATTTTATTTTTTTTGCTTTTGATAAAGCTAATATTAATAGTAGCTATTGTTTTTATTATATTTTAATTATATATATAATTAGTCACATATGCAACTTTTGATTACCTATTTAAATAATCTGTTTACAAATTCTATATTAGCTATTATATTTGTAATTTGCTAGAAGATTATTTTAAATATTCTAATTTCTATATTATATCTGACAGATAGTATACAGTCAGCTTTCCTAAATCTGAACCTAAATAATTCAAACTCTTAATAAACTCTGTAAAAACTAAATACAAAGCTTTAGAACATTTGTAAATTTTATTAAAAAGTTCAAATTAGCAACATAATAACTCTTTAAAAATTGAACTTTTTAATATTTTTGCATATAAGAACAGACTATTTAGAATAGAAAGAGTTGACTGTACTAGTTTTTGTATATTTAAATATTGTATAACTCAATATTTAGCCCTTTTTTCTATGTAATTATAAAGTTATTATAAACTTTAGAATATGTTACCTAACTGTAAGCTCTGATGCTTTCTTGTTAACTATTTATTTGCTCTATAGATTATTAACAAAGCTATGCTTTTGTAAAGTTTATCTAAACTTTAATACTAACTTTATAGCATATTTCTAATATTTTTAATATATTTTTACTTTGTTCTTAGACTTTTAATTCAAATAACCTAATAAAACTGTAATCTAATCTTAGTATATCAAGTTTAGACTAATATTTTTTTTGTTTAAATTCTAATAACTTAATTAATAGTATCTTTTACTTAAAAATTTTTATTTATCTAATTTTTCTATATTAATATCTGTTTTCTAAATTTAGTTTTTATAGTAGTACTGTTAAAATTTTGTGTTATATTTTTATTTAGGTTTTTTTAAATATACTTTCATTTTTCAATTTTATAGATTTAAATAGTTACAAGAACCTATTTTGGATTTACACTATTTGGTACCAGTTTGTATTTCTTTGTATAATTAAGATTATACAGATACTTAAAACCTGTCAATCATGTTGGTATAACTATAATTATAGATATCTTGTTTCAACTAATCAATAGAAAACAGTTATTATAATACAAATAAAAATTCAAATTTTTGTAATTGATAAGTTTTAAACTTTCAATCTGTCACTTGAAGAGGTAACAACTAATTTATTTTACTAAGTTATTATATTCTTATTTTATTTTTTTTAAGATTAATATATATTAAAATTACATATGTTTTAACTTAATTTTTTAGTTTAATATTTTTAAATTGCTTTTATAAATACTTAAAAGCAGTCTGTTATACTAGTTAAAATAATATTCAAATTTAAGAATTGTATCAAACTAGCCTAAAATGTTATATATAAATAATTTCAATTTATTACAAATAAACTTTTTTATATATCAAATTATATTCTTTTTATTTTTTATTTTTATTGTTTTTTTAACTTTTATTTTTCTTTGCTGTAGCTTAACTTTTTTCTTTTTTAAACTAAACTTTTCTTTATTAATTGTTTCTACCTTAGCATTTCTTTTTTACAAAGTGTAATACCAATACCTATTAGTTTTTCTATTAAATAACCATTTTGCATCTTTTTTTTTATATTATTTTATAAAACTAATTTCAATTTCAATTTAATTTAATTTACTTTAACTTTTATTTGTATTTAATTTTAAAGTTAAAATGTAATTTTAAAATAAAAATCAAATGTAAAAATTTAAATTTTAATTAAGAATCTTTTTTTATATTTTTAATATTTTTATATAGCAGATTTTTGAGTTATAGTATTCTAATAATAATTTCTGCTTGTTATAATTAGTAATATTCTTTAAATTGTTTATACAGAATAACTAAATATATAAACTTCGTAAATAATTATAATTAAAGATTTAATAAACAAAAGCCAACAAATTGTTTTATTCTTACATATTAATAAGGTTTTTTAAAAAATTTTGTTAAGATGCGCTAAATTTATAACTACCTCAGTTCAAAAATAATAAATGTTAAATAATATAATACAGTTGAACTATTATAAGTTATTATTTTTGTAAAAGCTTGTATTTTTTTTTTTTATCAAAATTTTTTTTTCATAAATTGCTAACAACGTTTTATAAATACTATAAATAATGTCATGTGAATAGTGCTTTAAGCACTCAACGTATCATAATTTCTTTTTATACTACAGATTTTCTTAACCATTGACTTGCTTTATCAATTCCAGCTTCGCTTACCATAAATTTCATATTCCATAAAGAAAAAAATTTTAAAGATTTCATTGAATGTCTAACCAAAATTCTCAAATGTTCGTCATTAATAAAATCACAAATATTTATAACAAAATTTTTCAAAGGAACCCCATCTTTGAACACTTCATGTTGTTCTTCAATTAATAAACTACAATTTTCCAAAAATTGTTTTAGACTATCAGGCATAAATCTCCATCTAGCTGAAATATTTAAATATATTAAAGTTCTAGGCATGATTTTTCCAAGTTCTGGTAAGATATCACTCACATCAAATGGTCTACCATTCCCATAAATATGTAAATATTTTAATTTTCTACAACTTTTTAAAATTCCAAATAATTCATCTATTTCATTTGGACCGATCATAGCACCGAGTCTCACAAGATTTGGACAATTCAACGAAATAGAATTTAATATATGAGCATAACCATCTTGTTTACAATCTTCAGGCCATCCAAAAATAATTTCTTTTAAATTCAAGTTACTAGCTAAAATTAAAGATTCCAAAGTATCAACTGGAACAGGATCTTCCTTAAAGGTTATAGATTGGAGTTTTGTAAGCGGAGCTAATTTAAGAGGAGCCAAAACTTTAGAACTCAAACTTTCAGAATCACAAAATTCTAAGATTTCAAGATTAAAACATTTCGGTAACCAATCCAGAGGACACCATTTATCAAACACTATATCACAAAATTGTATATAACGTAGAGTATTTTGTTGGCGTATGAGTGCTGTACCTAACGCTTGAGGGTAATGACAGTCACGAAGGATGAAATGTTCTAATTTGTTTTGTGATTCTATGAAACGAGCGGTAAGTTCAGCACTAGAATCATAATGTTCATCGTCATCGTTATAACCAAAATCAGGTAATCTGACTTCCATCTATTCGGATTCAAAAAAGTTTCAAAATAATTGAAAATAATTGAATCAAGAAATTTAAGATATTTGAGAAATAATTAATATAACTATAATTTTTTTTTTTTAAAGAAAATTTAAAATTATAAAAAAAAAGTTTACCTTTATAAGATGTCGACAAATCTGCATTAAAAAAGGAAAATCTTTATCGGTAGCAAAATCACCTGCGAATTCAAACTCTTTAATTTGACCTAACCATTGTCGAATTATTGGTTCACGTAAAATTAAAATCTTATGTTGTAATTTATTATCATAATAACTTAATCCATGATTAATGTTAACATCCATATCCATAACGAAAGAGAAAGATTCAAGACCCATGGAGTGTTTAGCAAATAAACGAAATAAAGCTAACATGATCTTTTGCATAATTGGACTACCATCACCAACATAAAGGTTATTAATCACACACCATTCTTGAACGGAAACAATCATAGATAAATAAGCAAAATGTCTTAAGAAAGAAGGATAATTAAAGGTAGGAAGGAAATTTTTTGAAGAGGAAGAATTTTGTTGAAGGATTGAATGTAAATCAAGACTACATATTTCATCAGGATCTAAACATGATAAATAAGTAGAGATTAGATAATGAGAAGAATTAAATTTTTTGTTGAGTAAAAGATGAAAAGGTTTATTCCATAATAGTTGAACAGCATTTGCGCTCCAAATACGATTAACTAACACACAAGAATGTAAATAATAAGAGTCATCCTCCAAATATTTAAAAATTTCCTGAAGAACTTCTGAAGGAGGGGACTGAGACATCGTTATCATTAGAGATTATGATAAATAAATTAATAAATAAATATCGATAGAGGAGAGAGATGACGAACACAGCAGGTTAAACCGAAGAGATTTCAACGAGAAGTTAAGGTTTAGAAGACGATCCACGAACGATAATCTGGGATAGACATGCGCCGCAAAGCTACATTCGGTCGCGATCACAAGTCCATGTGGATGTACATCGTGTGAGGATTATACATCGAAATCCTCGAAGTGATCTCTTGTACGAACATTGAAAGTATTAAGTAGTTATAAGGTGCATCACAATAAGGCCCCTTTACCTAACAAATCAAGTGTTGATGTATACTAATATAGTTCGGTGATACTGTTAATACAAATTTAGTTTGATGTAAATGTGTTATTATGTATGCGAAAAAAAACATGGGACAAGTTCCCAGAATACATTTGCAGCTAGAGCTTGAATCAGATTTGGAAAGTTCAGCCCTCGAGAACTTTATCCTTCAAGAAACAATCGTTAAAGATGCACAGATTACTGGTTAATTCGGATATTATCGGCGGTATGCAACTCATGAAAATTTTTTCTCGCTTCTCAATCGAAGAAATGTCAATAACGTAATTATCTTATTGTATACAAGATTTAGCCAAAAGTTTGTTTCATGAATCTTTGAATGGAGAAGATTCATGGAATACTTGCTAAATGTCAAGACTCGGACCTATATTATATGGGACCTGCATAGATCAAAAATGGCAATTACTCAAATTATTTATTTTTTATTTTTACTTTTTTTTTTTTTTTCACGCCACTTTTACGGATTTACGGATTTTTTAGCTTTGATTTATATTATAAATGATTATTTCCGTTATGATAAATTGGAACTTATACGTGGGAAGAAACATTCTTATACATATACATAGCATATGTTCTTTACGGAACACTAGCTTGTGAATAATGACTAATTCAATGTCATTGATGACAGGCCGTTCACGTGAAAAGTTAAAGTTAAAAATCATTATGATACCGAGAATACTTAATAATTCTTTAGAGATATGCATAACACGCATGCGTACGCAGAGCAGATTAAAAATCGTGGACATTTTCAAAAACGGGTTGAAAAATACTGTATCATTACAATACTATCTTTCGAGATGAACATTTTTACAATAGATGATTAGTGACTAATAAAGGAAATCGTTCATGTCTTCATTTTAAAGTCCTGTCAAAATTGGCGATCACTTGGAGACTTTTATACATAAGTGAACAGCTTAAACCGGAACATGTAATGTCGCCATTGTCTTTTTGTATGCGTGTTACGTTACGCTTATTGTTCAACGCAATCACATTGCTATTTTATCAGATATTAACTTGTCACAATGCTATCACAGATCCACGACGCGATAAATCTTATTGATGATGAAGCGTGAAAACTATTTGATTTCAAATAATCTTTGCCTAGATTACAACATTCACGACTTATTCGAGTGTGTACAATAAGCAAAAATTGGAATTGTAAAGTTGTTAGGTTAAAGTTCAACTTATATAATAACAAGAGTGATTTCTAGGTGTAATTAATGAGATATTTTGCTTTGCAAATAAGATGGCATTCTATATTAATACATACCTTGTGAATCCGTCTCTATCATAATCTGCAATGTTATATCACATTAATTTAATTAAACCTCGTAACTTGCCTTTTGTATTAGAATTAAAAAACATCTTGCAACATTTTACTGTAATTAAATTACATAGTAATGTTTAACTTGCCATATGCGTTAACAATTGTTCACTAAATTACTCTAATTACTTTAATTACTGTAACTTATACCATAAATTCTTGTCCGTGCACGATTCTAACTGATCGTAATTTTGTGCATGAACGCGGGTCTGCAGTTACAATCGATCTTAAAGATGCGCCAAAAGTCTAGAGTATTTATATTGGTATTTTATATTTATCACCTGATTTTTAATCTTATCTAAGATCAATTAATTATTATATAATCAAAACTACAATGCTTTAATTCTTTGTATTTTACTAAAGCTAAGCCATACATACTACAATGAATTCGTTAATGATCCAAACTGTCATTAACAATAAAGGTTTCACATTTTAATTATAAATTGTGCACGAAATAGAAATAGCATTTAATCCGCGCATACATTTTGGTCGCATTTTCAACCAAGGTCATGGACGCTGTCACTGATACGTACGTATCAGCTAATTATATATATCAGATATATATATGCGTAACTAATACGTATTAATTAATCATATGATAGATAATAAATCATAACTATGGCGTAAAGAATATTTCTTATTTATGTGACAATCAGAGCTTGCATCAATTAAATTTTCTTTTTTTTTTTTAAACAAAAACTTTTTTGTCGTTTACAATTGTATGCGATCTTATGCAAAATGGAACCAATGACAATGTAATAACATTTAAATTATCAAAATAATAATAATAATAATAATAATAATAATAAATTCAACTTAATATACTACATTATACTATGTTATATAGTAATAATGAAATTCTATCTAATCATTAACTTCCAACGATAAAACGAATGCAGTCATCTTGTGAACCACGTTGAGCAACGGGCATGATGACTGGTTGATGGGTGTACGAGGAAACCATCGTACATATACGATATTTACCACTTGGTAAACCAGGTTCTAAAGCCGAGCCAACTTCTGTTTCTAATATACCTTGATCATTAGCTGGCTCATTCAAACCTTTAAAAAAAGCAAATATATTAGGATTCGGAACAATTTCTCCGTCGTTATCATAGGTTAATTTTTGAATAACAACATGACAATGTCCTTTGACGATCCCTTCTTCATTAAGTTCTTGTGGTATGGTATAGTATTCTCCATCAGTATCAGAAAAATAACCTGTTTGTAAATTAACAATTTTAATTGATAAAGTAAAGTTCTGATTTGCTGGTACAGTAGATCCATCCTTTGGTTTAATAATAAGAGTAGAGATCATAAGTTCGTTTGCCGGAATTTGACCTTGGATTAAGCTAGAACACCATCCTCCAAGATCACTACCGGTTTTAATTTGAGTACCATTAGCGACTATTTTTGACTTTAAACAGATCCCTGAAGGTGGTGGAACGGAAGAGACAGATTCATTAAAGGATATAGATTCGTTGGAAGACAAAGATTCAATGGGGTAAAAAGTGAACAAAGCGGTAATAAAAGTAATGATGATAATATTAAAAGTAAGTTTCATTTTTTTTTTTTATAATCCGTTTGAGAAAGGGATCGATATATTCAAAAGATAAATTAGGCACTGATTTATTGTTATGGTTATCAAGTTAATGTAAACTACCGAAATATGAAAGAACAAAAGAGGTAAAATGAAGAGGTTATGGTTTTGAACAGATCGAAGGTGATTTTTGTATAGGCTACTGAAATATAAATACGAAAGAACTAAGTGAATTTTTTTTGAAAATATTGTCAGTTTATTCTTATATTAAAATCCTTGTTTAATTAAATCCTTAAGGCCTATCCCTAAGCTCGACTAGAGCACCCAGAACTCTGTAGTGCGCACGCTAAAAATATTTTTGTGCATTGTTCTTGTAAGAAAAAACGTGACTTGAATTCTTTTAAAATCAAATATGAAATACAATACAAAAAAAATATGTATATACATATTTTTAGCATGGGCAGATTTATGCGCCTCAGGAGTCTGGATATTCTAAGCCAACAAACATATTTTAAAAATGTCAGCCACTGACTGAGTCAATGTTCTATGTATAAAGTACCTTTTTTGATACGTAACAACAAATTCTAATACTATGAATCAAGAATAATACTTTTTTAATGCCGGAATTTTTAATAAAGGTTCATCGGCTGAGAGCTTTTAATATTTACAATAATCACTTTTATTTAATAAATAAGTCTTTTTCCTTAATTGATTAAATTGCTTCGCCCATTCGGGAAAATTATAAATTCAACGCATTAACAAAAACGGGCATGCATAAATTTTATTTGTTTGTTGTTCTGCATTCCTTAATAATTTCACACAAACGAAGGTATTGACCGCTGCCTAAAAAAAAACTTTGAACCTCATTCAGATCGTTACCTAAATTATGATGAAAAAAGGTTTATAAAATACTGTAATAAAATCATTTTTATAGATCCAGTAAGATTATCTTATATTATTTTTGATATTGTATATCTACATTAAGAGATTATTATCATCTAATTATCGCCTATCATAGAGAAATCTTAATTTAAAAAATTTATAAATTCCCATTTAAAAATTATTCCAATGATTTCAGTAAAACTAATTCTATAGTATAATATCTTTTTGTATACTAGATCTTGTCCAAATTTCTAAAAGTACATCGATTTATTTTTATTGTTCAAAGCTATTTTCAAATTCTATAGACTAGTAGAATTCGAAAATGGTCTTAGGCATTAATATTTACTAGGCCATTATTAAGAAATCTGAAATCTTTAAAGTTTGAAGAAACAGAACTTTTATAATATATATATATATATACTGTACTGTATAATTTCTTTTGAATAGATTCCCGAGATTTTTGTGTAGCGTGTGATGTAGATCATAGCGATAAAGGACGGAACCGGTTTAAAAATTTAAACCCGAATTGGATCGAGTTTAAACCGAATTTAAATCGGGTTATAATAACGATAAATAAAACTGAATTTAATTTTTTAAACCGGTCTATTATAACTGTTTACATAATTTTGGGCACTTAAAAATTTGCTTTTTTTTTTCCGAAATCCTTGATCACAATGATATAATTTTCGGAAAGTTATAACGATATCGAAGAGGTTGGTGTATGAAAATAGCTGTAGAGTTTTACAGCAAAATTAAAACATTATCCATTATAAACCCGATAGTTAGGATTAACTCGGATATATAACCCTGAATTTTTTATTTTTTTATTTTTTTTACAGAAAGATAATTCTTTCATAATTGGGTGATCTTATCACAAATAGAGAGCTTGGTGAAATTTCATACATTAAAATAACGGTAAAAGCAAACGTATGATGTAAAATGTCACCATTTGATAAATAATTATATATTACCACTCATGTAAAAATCGCAAGATGAAATGATAATGACAAAAATACACACACAAAACCATTGGAATTTGGGATATATTATGATTAAATTATTGTTCATTAAAAGAAGCAAATAAATAAATACATAAAAAATGAACAATGAATTTTGATTTTTAATGTTTTGATATTATTTGAAAAACTTCATAATCTTCAACAAAAAAATCGGTCACGCTGAAATTTTTTTCATAATAATGATTACAATTACAATCAGAACTATTAGTTTGATTGCAATTTGAAGATATAAATAAATCAGGATATCCGAAAGTGGGACCATAAGAAGAATTTTGAAATATCGCACTAACAGAACAATCAGGAAGGATACGACTTATCTTTGATGTAGAATTATCAAAATAAAATAAGAAACTTGTGTCAGTCGCAGTATATCCATTAGGAAGCATCCATCCGACAGGATTATAACCACCAACAATTTTATCGGAATCCTTAATTTTCACTATAACTACACAAGCACCTTTATTGTCACATTTTCTATGAAAATCACCAGCATTAAAACCATCTTCAGTTGCACGATAAAGCAAATTCCAACTAAAATAATTTTTCGCCGATTTTTGTTGACTTAATTGGTTAGAGATATCATTACTTATCCAGCCCTCAATTAGGGAAACATGACGAGTTGATATAATTGTAGAATATTTTTTATTTGCTCGAGGAGGAAGAAGGATAGATTTTGGACGATAATTAGACGCCATGAAATAATGCATTATATCATTCTTTAAAGATTTAGGTAAGATTTTCTTGAAAGGGTATACGGAATTTGTAATATCATCACCAGACATTTGGAAAAATCTAATCAAAGGAATAATATCTATTAATGTTTCTTGTAAAATCATGAAATCCTTTTTCGACATCTCATCCAACTCTTTATCTTTTAAAGAAGATGATTGGGCAATTCCCCATTGAAGAATAGAATCCCAAAGTTCAACTTCTTTTATATCAAGGTTATCCAATTTGAGAATAAAAATCAGAATATCCTCTTTTAAAGAAGTAAAATCATTTGATCCAAATAAAAGTTTAGGATTATTACAAAGTATTTCTAAATAATAATTTTTAAGTTTTGTCAAGCTATCATAATGAAAAAGCATATGAAGAACTTTGACTGAATTCTTTGTTGTCCAAATTTCATCATTTTTGAGAAGGTATTCTTGAATATAACTCATGATTTCATCGAGTAATAGTTCATCTGAAGCAATGAAGAATTCTAATATTTCAGATAATTCTTTATTTTCCAAGTTAATTGCACCAGTATAAATGTAACTAATAATTTAAAAAAAAATTATTATTATTATATGAGCGTATAACATCATGAATCAAAGAAAACCAAAAAAAAATTTAAATAGAAATAACATACTTTAATACAAGTTTAAATATTTTTGAAGAAATATTTGGTTTTTTAAAGGTAATCAAACCATTTTCTTGTTTTGTAGCCCATTTATCAGATAAAGCCGAACGAAAATAAGGAGACCTTGTAGCAAGAATAATAGAATGTACATGGAATTCCACTACATGAGGGAGTTCACCTACTTGAATGATAACATCATAATTAAAAGAAGATTCCAATAATTCACCAAAGTCTCGGGAAAGGCGAGAGAATAAATTGGTAGTCATCCTGTTGAAAGTGATGATGAAATGATGAAGTGAACTTGCAGGTTTTTTATATAATACATATAAAACGTGGTACGGAACACAATTTTTTTATTGGTGCGTAACATTTTATAAAATACAAGTACAATATTTACTTATTACGTATGCATAGAATTCAAAATTGTTTGTATGTATATATTTAGATCGCATCATATAGTTTGTTTTGGCATTTATCGTTAATGAGACGGTTTAATTTCACATGATACGAATTATTAAAGTAGAACCAATCATTATTAGTTAACTAGACTGCCTTGGTCAAATTAAATCATGTTACCAGACACTATCAGCATGACGATAATGGACTTTTTTGGAGAGTTGCAAAGACTTACTGGCCGATAAAAATTATTATTCGAAAATGACGATATTAAAATTAGGTTAACATGGTTTATATTTAGCAGGAAAATCTTATTAAATTGCCGGATATATTTATTCCCACAACCACAGAAATAATGAAACGTTTCGTTAAATTCAGCACTATATAGCTTATAACTGTTTTCATAGAAAATTGAAGATCTGAATAGTAAAAACATTTCATGTTATGAATAATGGAAAATCAAGTCCTAAGTTTTTACTATTTCAAATTTCAAAAATTTCAATTATTAATTGATAATTCGTTTCCGAGTGGGGAACCATATATAGTAAATTGTGATATACATGATTATAAATTTTATTATAAATTTGCTAAGCTACAAATGCCATCTCACCACAAAGCGAAGTTATTTTTCTACCAAGTAAATGTCTCTTCAGTTTCTAATTAAAGTGAGCATGATCTTGTTCTATTGATGGTTAAATCATCCAAATCGACCTAGTAGATCCTGGGTCCACTAATTTTCCCCAAGTTACTATTGGTCGTGAGTAAATAACGTGAAGATCAGGTGTAACATGAAAATTAAAAAAAAACAATCGCTTGTTTTTGAAAAGACTCATTTATCTCAAAATTTCGCCTAAGAAATCGCTTTTGCGTACTAACAAAAAAAAAAATTCCTTGCAAGATTTTGCTATAAAGTTGTTTATTAATCTGACATTAAACTTAACTTTTTAAAATTATATGTAAACGATAGCTGCTAGTATTATTTACAAAAGATTTTTTGATATATATCAGAATATACTGGGCCGATTTGGATAATTTGACCACCATTAGAACCAAACAACCATGCTCTACAACTTTAGTTAGAAGCTAAAAAGACATTTATTTAGTAGAAAATGCTTTCGCTTTGTGGTAAAGTGGAATTTGTGGCTTAGCAAATCGTTATACGTACATAGTCGCAATTTACTATATATGGTCATATATGATTTCCCCATTCAGAAACGAATTACCAATTAAATAGATATATGAGACGAATAGTTTTATTAAATTGGTATTTATATTTGAGCAACACAAGAGAATAAATTGCTTACAGTAACAACCATACTTATGCAGTCATGATTATACGTAGTATTTAATAATGAATCATTATTTTGAAACATTTTCAAAGTTATTTTTCTTTTTGTGTCCTACGTAGTTTGTATACATACTTAGAAATATATTACATAAAAACGCCCTGCAGTTGATCATGCGAATTCTTTCTGACTGGCCAACCTGCAAAGTTTAAATGATTGTAAATCTGATTAATAATATGTATAGATGATTGATTGTCTTGGCAGCAGGGTTGTAAGTTACCATGGTACATAAGCTATCGTTAAGTTACCATAAATTTAATGGTAATTTATCAGGTTACTACGTATTAATTAATGATAACATTGGTAGAAAATGGCCCAAACCAAACTTACGTACATACCATTTGTTTAGTAAATTTTCTAAATTATTGTAATTTACTGTAATTTTACAACTTGTTGGCAACCGATAATAGATAAAAATTGCATATTTTCTGGACATTATTCATCCAAGAAACTATTGTAAAATCAAAAACAAATAAAATTATACTTGTAAGATAATTCGTGATATCTCAAGCTAATTCTGGCATTCTTACTATGTAAATGATCAATTATACTTCGATTGTTCATTGTATGAGTTCATAAAGTAGACTTGCTCACATCATATTGGTTGAGAAAAAGATACGTTCATAATGCTTTATATATCTTTGAAATATCACCAATATTACAAATTGCAACTATCGAAACAAACTTAGTTATTTTATAATTAGATTGTATAAAAAATTATGAATTTATTTTTTAATCTTCATTTAATATTAAGTTTCCGAAAATAATCTATCAAAAATAACTTTTTTCTTTCTCTTCATATTAAATGATTTGGCGCAAGTCATTTCATATCAGAAAATCTATTATCGTTATTAAAATATATAGTCAAACCTCCATAAACAGATGTCTAAATTCCAAACTAACATAGAAATTCAAACCAATGTCAAACCTCAACTAGTGATAAGACCCTAAACTAGCATGGTTTCTCGGAACCTAACCTAATACCATCGTCGAACTCAAGATTGATGCCGAAATTCAAAACTGATATTAAAATTCTAAAATATCAAAATATAGATTGCATGAGTATATATATATATAGTATATGTTAATTTAGTTTGGGATTTCAGTAATTATTTGGATTCGGCATTGGTTTGAGATTTAGAATTGGTTTGAGACTTGAATTGATTTCAGGTTCAAGATTTGAGTTAACCTAAATGGTTTAGGAGTGTTTCGGTACCTAACTTTAGTCTTAATAATTCATTTCATTACATTATCCTTCCATTAGGCCATACAAACTTAATAAATCGGTTCTCATAACCCGGCCGGGTCAAATTTTACAAAATACTAAACAAAATTTCAAATATTACTATCCGGATGAAAATCTATAAAAATTTTATACATTTTTTGAAAATAGAATTAAAAGCTGGTTCACTTTTAAAAAATTTTATGTTATGAAACCCGATTTACTAAGTTTGTATGGCCTTAAGTCCATAAATTTAATTAGAATTCGTGAACCTATTTGAACATTATTTCTAATATTTCCAACGGAATTTCTTCCCTAAAGTGACTTGATCATAACCCTAAAGATTTCATTACACTTTCGACCTAATTGGATAAAATCACGAGGGGGGATTTTGTGAGAGAACTATACGATCATATTAATAGTTTCGACCAATTTCAGACATTTTGGATTGAGACTAAAGTATGGGCCTGGATTTCGGATTCGGATTAGGGGAATTGTTTCGGTTTCGCTCGAAACTTTAATGCTTGCTATTATAAAATGAAATTTATATATCACTTATCGTTATTTCGTATTGTAAATCAGAAGCCCAGTCAATAATTCTGAAACTTCATTGATGTTGAATTGTTTCACCGTATCTCTACGTAATGAAAACCTGTAACTAAATATAATTACAGGTTTTTAAAATTCTATAACATGGATGTAATATTTGAGTTATAATTAAAGCATACTTCATTCAAAACTGAAACTTTTCGCTTCAGAGACTTAATAAAATTTTTAACTCATAGTCAAAAGACTCTTGCCAAACTACTGACATACCTCGCATGTCATCAAAGTCTTATTTTTAAATTACTTTGAAATAAATAGAACACCTAACAATTTTATTTTTTAAAAAAAATCTTTTGTTACTTAATATATACAGATGTATTTGTTGTGAATATATACTATATAGTGAATTATATATTCTACAAGGTTGACAATGATAATCCTAAAATATAAATAATTCATAGTATTACTTTTGCCTGACTCGAAAGTAGTTTATTTAATTATTCCCCAAATAACGCGATTGATGATAAAAATGTGTTGGAAAACAAAGTATCTTGATAGAATCCAATAAAAAGAAAAAGAGATCAATGTTTTCAATTGTTTTAAAATATATAATTGACCGATATAAATTTCAATATATATTCTTAACTATCGTCCAATCAAGTTCATGAATTTACACACTTGCAGTTAACCATATACTTCGTAATTTCGTTCCTACGTTCCTGGTACGTATAAACCAAGCTGTTAAACAATAACTTTATATAAGATGTAGATTAGATTATCGAATTAGAAACATAAATCAATTGATCAAGAAAAAGTTAGTACAAAAAAATTCAATTTTAATAAAAAAAAGAGTAGTTAGTTTCGAAAACATAGGTTTTCGAAAAAAACGGTGCTCAACAAAAAGAAAAGATTGGATTTCGAAATTTCATAAAAAAAACCAGATTTCGAAAAAAAAAATTTCGAAAAAAAACGTTGCTTAACAAAAAAAATGGATTTCAAAAAAAAAACGTCGGCAACAAAAAAAAAAAGATTGAATTTTGATTTTCTTCACTTGGTGTTCCAATTTTTTAAAGGAAAAATTTCGAGAACTCTGCAATCCAAATTAAGGGTTGGTTGTTTGTTTAGGTCAATACTGGAAATTGTTTAAAGTTAATTTATAATAATAAAATAATAATAATAACGATTAACATGATTTTTAAACTTACTTGGCCGGCAAACTAACCTTAACGGAAGCACTTCCGGCAGGGAGTTGTTTTAATATTATTTGATTCTTATATTCACATTTAATATAAAATCTCACATCCAAATAAATGCCATTATCCTCAATTGAGATATATGCTTCTATTTCTTCCTTACGTTTAATTGTTAGCACAAACGTCCTTAATCACTTAAAAAAAAACGTACAAGTATAATTAATGTAACGAATTAAAATATCATTCAAGCTTTGTACCTCATGGTATACAGTATAAATCATAAGAATCGCATATTGACATATTTTGTGTAGTCGTATTATTAAATTCTATAGAGTCATAGGTTATTGATGTCATATTACTGTTTTTCTTAAAGTCATTGGTTATCAATGTTATATTACAGTTTTTCCTAGTTATAGGCTATCGATGTCATCTTACAGTTAATGCGGGTTGTCAAGTTTTTTTTTCCTAAGAAAAATAAAGATCTTTACCATATAAACCATTTCTCTTATGGTTTTGAACTAACTGATAAAAATGTTGCACTTCATCTGCTGTTTGAAAATGAGGATGTCTACAACCAAAATTTATCAAAAAAATCAAATATTTAATAATGTATGGTATGTATAGTAATGTCATAATATATTATATATTTTTGTTGAAGTATATAACCAATTTTTACATTTGAATTAGTGTTTCTAGGTTTAATTTAGATTCAGGTTCAAGTTCAATTAAACTTGAACTGAACTTTAAATTTTACAAATTTTTGAATCTACATCTTAAATTTATGAACCTGAACTTAAATTTTTGTTTTAATTCAAGTTCAGTTCAAGTTTAGGTTCAAGAATCTATATATAGAGGTGTGATAACTTAGTGAAGTGAATAGGTTGTCAACCCTCAAGTGGCAGGTCTAGAGTTCAAATCCCATTAACAGTAAAAAATTTGCAATTCTTTCTGTATTATGGTTAACTGTCTTTTGTGATTGGTTAGGATAAGATACCTGTAATCTGTATCATACCAGCATGACTGGAAGGTCTAGGCACTTGTACAATGTTGTATGAATGGAACACAAACTGATACCAGGTGGTGTAAACCCAAGATAAGTTCTTAAGTTGTGTAAATCATAGGAACCAGGTAGAAAGACAGAAGTCCACTTGGAAGACCCAAATAGTGAGATAACATGAACTTTTGATAGTGTTACTATAAAGATTAGACTTATAAAATAGAACTAAAACTTGTGAAATTAGGCAAATATATCAGTATTTGAGAAGAGATTAGATGAACCAACTAGGCTATCAAAATTTCCAGATTTTAGAAAAAAAGAGTACATAGACAAACATGTAAACCAGAGGTATATAGTTTTAATCTATCTTTTTAGCTTATTTGGAATGACAACTTAGTGGAATTTGAATTGAATATCAAAGTAATAAGGATATGTTATGAAGTCAGTACCAGAGTTGGAGTGAACTCTATAAGGGCATAGTAATTTAATAGTATATCCTGACTATCAATATTGGTTTCAGTCATAGTGATATTAGGTCAGTTGTAAGAATAAAATACAGAAGATTCTGGAAGATTTAGTACAAGATTAAAGATTTCTCATATGAATGAACTACTTTAAAGACTTAGTAGTCATAGTATATTTTCATCAACATTGGCCAAAGTCATTAGTAGACAGAGGTAGGTAGATGGATACAAAAACTGAATGGTTAAATAAGAAACCTACAAGCAGATTTCAGATATGACAGTTAGTATAAAACATTTGGGTGAATTATTTAAATTAGACAATAATTAAAGTTGTATAAATGACTAGTTATATACTTTTCTTATAGTTATCTCTTGTGATTGTAATATAATTATTAGTTAAATATACTATTAATAAAATCCTGAATTACAAGTACTCACCTTAATATTTTTAAAAAAAAAAAAGAAACTATATATATTTTTATATATAAAACAAAAGCATATTAATATTTATTATAATTTTATTAACCAAATATTATTTTTAAGATTATACTAATTAATTTTATTTTAATATTTTAATTGCTTTTTTTTATATAAAAAATACATTGTATTAGTATATTTTATTATATATATATATATATATATATATTTTTTTTTAACTTAAGTAGCCATGCTAGTACTTTATTAGAATTCTTGAAACTATACAAATTACAGAGAATTTTCCTAATAACTAAGTCTAGCATCAC